CAAGACAGGGCCGGACTCTCCACGGCCCATCCAGATGCCCGCTTCCAGAGTGGATGCCACTCCGGCTTGGGCCTCCCTTGTGGGTCCTCTCTGGCCTTGCCTAGGCCCATAGGTCCTGGGCTCACTCTCCTGGGCACCCAACCCTGTGTGGTCCCAGATTCACCAGCCCTCCTCCCTCCAGCCTCACGGAGGAGGTTGGGAGGCTGGCCAGGGCCCACCCTTAGCGCCCCCCAACCCAACACCCCCAGCCTCCACATGCCGGAAAAGGCCATGCCTCTCACATGGACACAGCCCTCCCTCACTCTTACCAGTGCAAAGTCTCTTCCTCCAGGAAGTCTTCCCAGACCTCCTCTTTTGGGGGCCCTTGGTTCCCAGCCCCCAGCTATCAGCCAGTTCAGCCCAGATGAGAGCTGCACATCAGGACCCTTCCTTTCCTGTCAGCGAGGTCACGGTGCCCAGCATCCCTCCCCAAGCCCAGCAACAGGTAGACTGGGACACAGGTGTGGGCAGACTGACCTGGGATTCACCCTGTGCCTGCCTTGGACCAGGCATGGCCTCTCTGGCCATCGGTTTCTCAGCTCTGCCACAGGCCCATGCCCCTCTCTCCACAGACACTGCCCCATTTCTCATTTCCTGTCCCAGCACCCTCAAAGTTCTAAGAGCAGCCCAGGCCCCAGAGCCCCAGGCCCCCCCAGGCTGGCTCTGCTCTGTCAGACCCACAGTTCTGCCAGGAATTCGTTCCTGCTGGTCCCCGGCCAGCACAGGGACACAGGGAGAGCCCCCGACCACCTACCCGAGCCCCAAAATTGCCCAACATCACTTCCCAGGCCAGCCCATGCCCAGACCAACCCTCTGCATTCTGGCCCCCTGTCCTAACCTCACCTGCTAAACCCCGGCCCAGGCACTGTTTCCCTCGGAGGCTCCAGGAGGCCGTCATCCACCAGCATTTCCTGCCTCTGCCTGCTGGGCCCTGCCCTCCCCATCTTGGCTCCGGGGCCTCTGCCTGACTGTGCCCACCCAGGGCTCACTTCCCCTCCCTGGGCCCAGTGCTGCCCGCTGCCCACCCTCCCTAGCTCACACTCTCCAGGTACCTCCAGGGCCTGGGTCTGCCACAGCCGGGTGGAGTGCGGCTCCAGGGCCTCTAGCCAGGAGGACGAACCTGTTCTCCTGGTTTGTGGCTGGCGCTGAGAGGGGCTTCCCGAGGGCCGCACCCTAACGGTCCTGTACCTGTACTCAGGGCCAGTATGTGGGTGGCCCTTCCTCAATCCCCAAACCGATTTATAGCTAAAGAGAAGGGAGGGGACACGGCCACACCCCTGAAGCCAGAACTGCCACCCTGGGCAGGAGGCACTCCCCTCAAGCGGCACCAGCGCCCACCCCTGCTCTGCGCTCCAGGCACCTGCCCACCCAGGGAACCCGACCTGCTGCGTCCAGCTCCTGGGCCCACCCTGCCCTCCTCTGGGTCCTGAGTGGCTGCTGGGTGCCAGGCAGCATCCCAGGCACAGCAGTCCCCCGTTCTGGTGCAGCCCATACCCCACCACAGAGGGCACAGGGGGCAGCACCTGCTGATGCACCAGATCACCTGCTGGGCTGCCCACCACACTGGGTGTTGGGGAGGAAATGGGGATACGAACGGTGGGGCTGAGCCCCGAGCTCCCTCTCCTCCCCAGCCTCCGAGCTCCCCAGAGCACTGGAACTGGGTTCAGCAGAGCAGCACAGGGCCTCCAGAGGAAGGATGTCGGAGGGTACGACACACCTGCGGCTGCTGGGCGGAAGTGGGTGAGTGTGACGGGCAACGCTGAGAGCCCTGCTCCGGCGCAGGCTTGGTCTGGGAGCTTGCTGGAAACACAGAACTGGACCTCAGCCCAGGCCCATCCACCCAGACCTGCACCATGACCAGACACCAGATGATGTGTGCACTGGGCAAGAGTGAAGTCGGCTCTTAATAAACACCAGTTGATTATTACCCAGTCCCATTCCACACACCAGAAGATGGAAGCCCAGGGGAGCTCAGATGGAACGGGTGTGAGAGCCCCCTGTAAACCGCAGGGTTGGCGGAGGGCACAGTGGGCTTCGGTCAGAGGCCAGCCAGGAAGCACTCCTGTGCAGTGTCCCCAGTAGCCTGGTTTCGAAGCTGGGCGGTATATAGGCTGAGTGGCAAGAGATGGTGAGGTATGTCGGGGCTTATCGATTCAAGAACAGGCTCCTCTAGGATAGAAAGCACCACCAATAGGAATAACACTCGGTTTAAAGGCTGTGGTGATCCCCTGCTGGGGCCTGGCACGTGGCTGTCAAGAAACCGAAGACGGGGGCCAGGCCCTGTTGGCCACTTCTGCCCAACGCCTGTGGTTGCTCTCCCTAAAATCCACAGCCTTGGCCGGGTGCGGTGGCTCACGCCTGTAATCCCAGCACTTTGGGAGGCTGAGGCAGGCAGATCACAAGGTCAGGAGACCGAGACCCTCCTGGCTAACACGATGAAACCCCGTCTCTACTAAAAATACAAAAAATTAGGCAGGCGTAGTGGTGGATGCCTGTAGTCTCAGCTACTTGGGAGACTAAGGCACGAGAATGGTATGAACCCCAGAGGCGGAGCTTGCAGTGAGCCGAGATCGCGCCACTGCACTCCAGCCTGGGTGACAGAGCAAGACTCCATCTCAAAAAAAAAAAATTACGAAAAAAACTCCAGTCTCCAGCCTCTGCCTTCCTGCCCTCAATCCCCAAAGCAGAGAGGGACAGGGTTTGTGAAAAGTCCCGAGAGCTCAAGAGGGGGCTGCCACAGGGAGACAAGGGCACCAAGCGGCAAACGGCCCTCCCCTGGCAGGACCCCCCATGCCCCACCCCAGAACCCTGGAACCCGCCAGAGCTCCCTGGTTGGCTGGTCAGCCAGGACATGGAGACCCCTCCAGGCGCTTCCTTCCTTCCGCGGTTTCGGTTTCAGGCAGATGGTCGCTCCACTTGGCGGGCGGTTCTGATCTAGATTCGATTGCCTTTGGGGCAAAACTCCCCACCTAATCCTGTGTAACTCTACAAGGGAGCCCGGTGGAGAGCAGACGGGCCGACGCTGCCACCTGCTGGCCATCCCAGGATAGGACCCCCAAATTCATGTCATCCTCAGGAAGGACCCTCGGGGTACCAGAGGCCTTCGAAGCCCCAGTGAGTGAGGAAATTGAGGGTCGCGGGTACCATTACAAGACGCAGCCAAGGCCTAGAGCCAAGGCTTGAACCCTGGAGGACCCCCAAACCCCACCTGCCCAGGAACAGCAGACACTGGGACAGTGTTTTGGGTCCTGCCCAAGCCCCTCCCACTGTGAGGCTGGGATTTGTCGCCCAGGGTGCAGGTGAGAAGAGTGGGGAAAGCAGTCCTGAGTCTGGGCGGCGGTGGGGAATGCCTCCCAGAGCAGGCCATCAGTCAGGGGTCCATCCTAGAACGGAGCGTGAATCCAAAGGAGCCAAAGCCTCCTCCTCAGAATCAGACTTGGCGCTGTGAACCCAGGGGCCAGAGCAGTTCTGGGCCAGGAAGGGGAGCTGCGTCTCAAACTGTTATCTAAGCATTGACCAGAACACACGATCACCTCAGCGGTTCCATGTGGGCGATGCCGGGCTGCCTGGTCCACGGATGAGGGGTTCAGCTCAAGGTGCCCAACCCAACCAGAGGGCAGCCTCTGTGTCCAGGAGACACGTGTGCACCCGCGGGGTAAGAACGCCAAAGGGGTGCAGGTGGGGGGAGGTTCAGTAGCCAGAGGGCCTGCGGGGCCACCCAGGCCATGCCCCTTCCTGTAAGAGGGGCCATTCCTGCAGGGTGGGGCTCTGGCTTTGTGACTGGGCTGTGCCAGTCTGGGTATGATCCCACAGCTGAGCCCCTGTAGATGTAGGTGAGGCAAGGAACCCCACGCCCTCCCCACTAAGGTCAGCGGGACACAGACGCCCCCTTGTCGGTACCCTGCCTTCCTCCTGCAATCCTGCAGGACTCTCCAGGGCCAAGTGCTGCCTTTGGGGCCAAAAAGACAGCGCCTTCTCCTTCGCCTGCCCTGCGGCCATTCAGAGATATGCGGGACACCTCCTGCCCTCCCTGGCCAGGTGGCCCCAGAGGCACAGGCCGCAGACACCGCGGGGGACCTGCGTGGGCCTCCAGTTCCCGCCCCAGCCCTTCCCATCCCCAGTTCAGGGCAGGTCCAGCTGTGGCCAGCGGTTGGGGAAGGCTCTGTGCTTCAGGCCTCCCTCTGCTCCTCCCCTGTGAGCAGAGGGGTCGGGGCGCCTGCGATGTGGTTCCCCAGAGCACCAGCGGGGCTCAGGCCAGGCAGGGTGGAGGGTGGAGTGCCACCTTCCGCCCGTCCTGGAACCACGCGGCGGCCTCCCGGTTGCCCCCCACCTGCCAGGCCCTGCCTCCCGTGGGCACCAGTGGGGAGTCCACACCAAGCCGGCCATGTGCTTTTCGCGCGGGATTACTGGGGAAGCCGGCTGCTCGGTACCTGGAAGGTCCCGGGTCTCGCCTCGTGCCCCTCTGGCCCCCAAACCCACCGGCACCCCGGAACTAGCCAACCGGTGCTGAGAGCCCGCGCAGCTCAGAGGGAGAGAGGGCGGGACAGCCGCGGGGGCGCTGGGAGCTCGGCTTCCCGGAGAGCCAAGCGCAGGCCTCCGTCTCCCCAGCCGCAAATAGGCCCGCAGCGTCTCCACCCCGCAGCACTGTCCCCAGTGGGAGGGCGGCCCGTGGACGTGCAGGGAGCACGGCGGGGGCCCGAGGCAACGCAGGATCCTGGGGGCGCCGCACCCCGCGGCGCTAGCCCATCCCGCGGCCTCGCCAGCGCCTGTCGCCCGCGCGCCCCGCCCCCACGCCGGCTCCTGGGCCCCGCCCCGCTCCGCCCCGCTCTGCCCCGCTCTGCGCCTCCGACTCCCGCTGCTGCCCCGCCCCGCGCCGCGCTGGTTCGGACTCCAGCCCCGCTTCCGCCCAGGCCCTGGCCCTGGCTCCACCTCCAGCCCCGGTCCGGCCCCGCCCCCGCATCGTGACGCAGAAGGTCTGCGCCGTACGCCGAGCCACGTCGCGCTGTCATCAGGTCTCGCCCGCGTGGCTGTGGGCGTGGCTAGCGTGGCTTCTCGGGACCACCTGAACTCGCGGCCATGGTCCCGGCCGCCGCCAGCCCCCCGGAGGTGATCCGCGCGGCGCAGAAGGACGAGTACTACCGCAGTGGGCTGCGGAGCGCGGCGGGCGGCGCCCTGCACAGCCTGGCGGGTGAGGGCCGGGCGCGGCCGGATGTCCTCGCAAGCGGCCCAGGGGGCGTTGCCCCTCATGGAGGCGGGGTGTCTACCGTGTGTGGTCACCGTCGCCTGGGCCAGTCCCACAAGCTGGGACCCGGCAGTCTCCTTCGCCTGACCTGCGGCCATTCAGGGATATGCGGGGCACCTCCTGCCCTCCCTGGCCAGGTGGCCCCAGAGGCACAGGCCGCAGACACCGCGGGGGACCTGCGTGGGCCTCCATTTCCCGCCCCAGCCCTTCCCGTCCCCAGGTCAGGGCAGGTCCAGCTGTGGCCAGCGGCTGGGGAAGGCTCTGTCCCCTCCAGGTGTGCGGCTTTGGCAAGCGCTTCAGGCCTCCCTCCGCTCCTCCCCTGTGAGCAGAGGGGTCGGCGCACCCGCGGCGCGAACGCCTCATACCTCGGTCCCGTTCACACTGACCCCGGCCTTTCCTAGGCCTGACCAGCCGCCCAGGCCCCTCGCCCTTCTGACCCCAGGGTAGGCTCAGCCAGGCCCTACCTGCCTCACCAGGCCGTGAGCTGAGTACAGAAGCCAGTGTACTCAATGAAGCAGCGCCTGTCATCCCAGCAGTTTGGGAGGTGGAGGCGGGAGGATCGCTTGAGCCCAGGAGTTTGAGACCAGCCTAGGCAACAAGGCAACACTCCGTCTCTACAAAAAATCTGAAAATTAGCCGGGTGTGATAGTGGTGTCTGTAATTCCAGCTCCTCAGGAGGCTGAGGCAAGAGAATCGCCTGAGCCCAAGGGATGAGGCTGCAGTGAGCCATGATTGTGCCACTGCACTCCAACCTGGGCGATGGGGCCAGACCCCATCACCGATTAAAACACGAAGAAAAAAAAAAAGAGGCCGGATGCGGTGGCTTAGGCCTGTAATCCCAGCACTTTGGGAGGCCCAGGCAGACAGATCACTTGAGGTCAGGAGTTCGAGACCAGTCTGGGCAACATGGTGAAATCCTGTCTCTACTAAAAATACAAAAATTAGTTGGGCATGGTGGCATGTGCCTGTGATTCCAGCTACTCAGGAGGCTGAGACAGAATCACTTGAACACGGGAGGCGGAGGTTGCAGTGAGCCGAGATCATGCCACTGCACTCCAGCCTGGGGGACAGAACAAAAAAAAAAAAAAAGCAACGCCATCAGGTCTTTGGGGGTGGGGCCGGCAGTTGTTAAAGGCATCAACTCCCAGCAGAATGTTTCATGGAGCAGTGGCACTAGAGCCCAGTGGCAGGGGTGTCATGGCAGCAGGAATAGTGCTGTGGGACAGGAAGAGCATGGGTAAATATCAGAGGACAGCCAGGCTCCCTGCCAGGAGGGTCGTGGGTATCAGGTGGGCAGCCATTGGCAGATTCTGAACAGGAGAGTGACAAGAATTTTTTGTGTGTGTCCATATTTATTTTACAATACACTGGGCACTTAGCCCTGTGCCAGACACTGTTCCCGGTGTTTTACAAATATTAACTCATTGAATCTTCAAACATCCCTACAGGTAGGACTTACTATGACTCTTCTGATAGATGAGCAAATTGAGATTCCAGAAAGATCTCACAGCCAGGAAGTTGGAGAGCTGCTGTTTGATGCTAGACAGTTGGCCTCTGGCCTGTACTCCTACTACCCCAGACCGTCTTTCCATGTTGCCCTCATAGGCCCTAGAATGGTTGCTCAGGGGAATCCCAGAGCGAGAGATGGGCGCAGGTGGGAGGTTCTTAGCAGACTGTCTGCAGCTCACGCTAAGGCAGGTCAAGGTGGAGACAAGGTGGTGCCTCTGGAGACAGAAGCAGAGAGGGAGGCCAGGGAGACAGTGTTGGTTTCATGGAAGGGACTGAATCTGGGCCTAGACAACTTGGGGAGGACTGTGGTCCCTCATGCTCAGGGCATGCCCACCAGCTGCCCCAGACTAATACTGTTTCTCCTCTCAGGTGCGAGGAAGTGGCTGGAGTGGAGGAAGGAGGTTGAGCTGCTCTCAGATGTGGCCTACTTTGGCCTCACCACACTTGCAGGTAGAAGCCCCCACTGGTCCTCAGGACTGAGGGCAGCCACACACACCAAGTCCGGGGGATGGTGGCCAGGGGGCTGCCCAGCAGTGTGAGAAGCTCCTGGAGCTGGCCCGGGTGAGGCTGCCTCAGGGAAGTGCAGGAGGTGCTGCTCCAAGGGAGACGAGGCGTCAGCTCCCAGCAGGGAGCCCATTTTTCCAGGCTTTGTGTGTCCCTGGGGACCCACCCAGGTGCCATTGAGACCCATTTCTCAGTGGCCAGCCCTGGTAGCACAAGTGAGTCACAGTGCTGAGCTGTCATAGGGTGCAGTGCCCCTGTCGGAGTGCCCTGGTGGAGCAACAGTGCTGAGCTGTGTCACAGCGTGCAGTGCTTGTGTGGCAGTGCCCTGGCGGCGCAGTGGCGGGCCTGTGGCCCAGGCTGGTCGCTACTCTGGAGAGGGAGTTGTTGACGGAGGCTCTCAGGCTCCCAACCCCAGCTCAGCATGCAGCAAGGACCGCTGAGCGCCAGCCTGGTTCCCTATGAGGGGCTCCCCCTGGGCATCCTGCCGCCATGGAGAGCATGCTCGGTGGGTGGGAGACAGATGTGGCTGCGTCACAGGGCATCTTGGGAATTGAGGGGCTCTTAGAGATAAAGACCACGTCTTGGGGAAGAGCATCTTCCAGAGCAGCAGAGCAAGCAGCTGGGAAAGGCCCTGAGAAGAACACATCCTTGGCCGTTTGTGGGGATGATCCCGGGGGGCTCATGGGTTTTCTAAGCCCACAGCTTTCCCTGTGCAAGGCTTGGGGCATTGCAGGGACTTGGGCAGGGGAGCGGCCAACCACTGGCTAAGACCAGACCTCAGGGGACAAAGTTGGGCTCAGGGAGACTACAGAGGCTGACAGTCCCCCATGGGATGGTGGTGGTACAGAGCAGGGGCGGCAGTGACGGGGTGAAACACGCAGGGAAGGTGCATGCAGGGTGCCCCTTGGGCTTGACCTCAGGAACTGGAGGCCTGGTGTCGCCATCCACAGAGATGGGAAGGGGTAGCAGACTTTTCCAGGTGAGGGAACTGGAAGCTGTCTTGGCAGGGATGGAATTGGGGGTGCTCATCTGAGGATACATGGCGATATCAGGTAGGTGACGGAACTGGATGGCTGGCACTCAAGAGTCAGGTCCAGGCTGGGCATAAATCGGGTGGTGCCAGCTGTGCAGTTGGTGGAGAGCCATGGGACTGGATCTGAGTGCTTGGGCCGGGGGAGGTGGTGGGGACAGCTAGGGAGAAAGGGGAAGGAGCAGAGACTCCTAGGGAGAAGCCAGGAGAGGGAAGGACACCGGACACCGGCCAGGCAAGGCTCCAGGAGCTGAGGGCAGCCATTGGCCAGGCCTGTCATGTGCTGCCTGAGGTCACAGTGGGCTTAGCAACAGAAGGTCATGTTGGCCTCAGCCAGCACGGGGTGGCAGTGGGCTCAAGGGCGACAAGATGACGCTGTTGACAGGAGCCAGCAGAGGGTCGGCTGGCAGGGGGGCTGGGAGCCTGTCCCCGAGGCAGCAGTCTCAGAGTCCACATACCCATCCTCTTCCTCGCAGGCTACCAGACCCTGGGGGAGGAGTACGTCAGCATCGTCCAGGTGGACCCGTCACAGACACGTGTGCCCTCCTGGCTGCGCCGTGGCGTGCTGGTGACGCTGCATGCCGTCCTGCCCTACCTGCTGGACAAGGTCCTGCTCCCCCTAGAGCAGGAGTTGCAGGCGGATCCTGACAGTGGGCGGCCTTCGCAGGGGAGCCTGGTGCCAGGCGGGCGTGGCTGCTCAGGGGTGCGGCGCTGGGTGCGTCGCCACACGGCCACCCTGACTGAGCAACAGAGGAGGGCGCTGCTGCGGGCGGCCTTCGTCCTCAGACAGGGCCTCGCCTGCCTCCAGCGGCTACATGTTGCCTGGTTTTACATCCACGGTGTCTTCTACCACCTGGCCAAGAGGCTCTCGGGGATCACGTACGTAAGTAGCAGGTGCTGAGGGCACAGCCGCTTCGGCCACCCTTGTCACCCCTACTGGACTTGGGTGTGTGCACAGAGCTGGCCCTCCAGGCCTCTCAGCCAACAGGGTTCCACAGCCAGAACCTGTGTCAAGGCAGGAACCCAAATCCTCTGCTTGAAAAAAGGCAGGTTTTGTTTAGTTACACTTGGCTGAAAGATCCAAGGAAGTCCAGACCCTGAGGGCAGAATGGGCTCCTGCTGCAGCCCCACGTGGACACCAGGCCCTGCACTCAGCTTTATACTGACCGGGGGCCCTGGGTCACGCCTCACCACAGATCCCTGAACCTTGGCCCATGACTGCCCATGTCACTGCTGTGAGGAACAAGCAGCTTCTCCCAGAGTGTGTGAAGCATGTACTGTAGCCCCCGCCCCCGCCCCTCACCCCTCGCCCGTGCTTGGCCCAGCAGTCTGCCCCATCAGATGGCCGTTCCCACCTTCTCCCCTCCACAGCTGTCGGCACCTCTGCCCATCCTAACCCCCAGCTGACGCTCCTGCTTCCAGATTCAGCAACGAAGCCTCCCCCATGGTCCTGACACCATGTCCATCTGCCACAGCGTTAGACCCTGGCCCACCAGAGCCACTGCTGCACGAGCTCCTTCTAGAACAGCCCTCTGAGGAACCCCCTTTCTTCCGTCCCTAGAGCTGCCCTGGGCCCCTCAGCCCCCACTTGCCAGGCGACCCCACCTCCACACACCCTGAACAGGAGGCCACAGTGATCTCCCCGTCACAGAGCCAGTGGTCAGGTCTTCATTCTTAGCATACCCAGCCTCCCGCGTATTTGACGCGGTTCCTCGCCCCGTCCATGTTAGTGAGGGATTTGCTGAACTGCTGCGACAGGGGCTTGGAAACGGGGCTCAAACCAGCTGGGAGGCTCCCTCTCCTAGGACAGCCAGGAAGTGGCTGGACACCCAGGGCCCACGCTGGTGGTGTGACCTGCCACCTCTGTATGTGGTTCCCGGCCCTGGGCCGAGGCCATCTGGCTGTCTCCATTTCCCAGCCAGTGGAAAGGGACACGGGAAGCCGAGGGCAGCCAGCTGTCCTTCAGTGGCACAGCCAGTAGCTACACACATCACCAGTAGCATGAGGAGGGGAGCAGGGTCCCTAGGGCCATGTGCCTTGCAGCAGGGTAGCTGGTGGGCAGCGTCTACAGCCCGACATGTCTGCTCCCCCCCATCCCTTTCTGAGAGGTGGTCCCTGGACATCCATGTCCTCACCCCCTCTGCCAGCGCTAAGACTCCCTCTGCGCTGACAATGCCAAGGCCGGTCTGGAGCTCAGGCCTCTCCATCATGCTAGGCTGTGAAGCAGTTCAGACTCCCTGAACCTGCCCCTGGCTTGATGGTTTCTGCCGGGCGCTCCCAGTGCCAGGGAGAGGCCTGGTTCTAACACGCTCTGTGCAGACTGACCCTCCCAGCAGGCACTGAGGCCAGATCCCCTCAGGGTCCTGATGGGTGTGACACTGTCTGCCTTACAGCTCCGTGTCCGCAGCCTGCCCGGAGAGGACCTGAGGGCCCGTGTTAGCTACAGGCTGCTGGGGGTCATCTCGCTGCTACACCTGGTGCTGTCCGTGGGGCTGCAGCTGTATGGCTTCCGGCAGCGGCAGCGAGCCAGGAAGGAGTGGAGGCTGCACCGCGGCCTGTCTCACCGCAGGTGCACGCGGGGGCCACACATGGGGGCTGGGGGTGTCCTTTGCACTTCACAAGGACCTGTAAGGTGCACCCACCTTGACGCTCTGCCCCACCTTCCCCAGGGGCTCCCTGGAGGAGAGAGCCGTTTCCAGAAACCCCCTGTGCACCCTGTGCCTGGAGGAGCGCAGGCACCCGACAGCCACGCCCTGCGGCCACCTGTTCTGCTGGGAGTGCATCACCGCGTGGTGCAGCAGCAAGGTGAGGTGGGAGCCTGCTGGGGTCCTGAGATGGCTCAGTGGCTGCACTGGCAAGACACACCTGGCAAGGCCGGGCGCGGTGGCTCAAGCCTGTAATCCCAGCACTTTGGGAGGCCGAGGCGGGCGGATCACGAGGTCAGGAGATTGAGACCATCCTGGCTAAAGCGGTGAAACCCCGTCTCTACTAAAAAAATACAAAAAACCAGCCGGGCGAGGTGGCAGGTGCCTGTAGTCCCAGCTACTCGGGAGGCTGAGGCAGGAGAATGGTGTGAACCCGGGAGGCAGAGCTTGCAGTGAGCTGAGATCCGGCCACTGCACTCCAGCCTGGGCGACAGAGCGAGACTCCGTCTCAAAAAAAAAAAAAACAAAACCCACCTGGCTGCAGCAGAAGTGGGGAGTCTGGCTCTGAGCACCCTTCAGGTTGAGGGTAGAGATGGGCGTCTTTTTAAAGGCTCCCAGGTAGGTCAGATGTGGGGTCATTGTGGGGGTTAAAGTTCCAAATTCACACGTACTGAGACTTTGCTGAGCACAGGTTGGGGCAGCAGCCAACCCTGAAAGGCCCCACACCTCCCCCATGCACCCCAGCATGCCCTTCCTCCTGGGCTCCTCACCACACTTGGAAACCCTGGCACACTGAATCACACCCACGGAAGATGCCGGCAGGGTGAGAGTGGCACGTTTCCCAGGAGCTGGGCTTCCTGGGCTGTGTCAGCTGCGAGAGCAGGAGGGAACCTCCCAGCCGAGCCCCACACCCCCAGCCCTGCCCCGGCCCCCACTGGGACTCGGCCTTCTGAAAAAAGGCTGGCTTTGTTGGTCATTAGTCAAAGGAAATACAACATTTATGTTCCATGTCATGGGCAGAGAACGTGGACAGGACAAGAGATGCCGATGGGGATGGGCATGGCCCAGTGGTCCCAGCTGCTGTGACCCCTTCCTCCTCTCTGCAGGCGGAGTGTCCCCTCTGCCGGGAGAAGTTCCCTCCCCAGAAGCTCATCTACCTTCGGCACTACCGCTGAGCCGGCGCCCAGGTGGGCCTGGACACAAATGACTTCTACGGAAGTCTGAACGCCAAGATTTAGTCTCAAGATGAACCTTACCTGCACAGAAATTAGAACATTCTCACAGGTTTTCTATCATGTAAGATACTAACCCAGCCACCCCGGGAGAGAACAGAAAGCTGTCCCTGACTGTGCTTTCTCAGCCCTGGGAGGGGCGCTAACCCCAACCTGGTATGACTCAGCTACTTTTTCAGGAATTTCACTTATTTGGACAGGATTTTAGGTTTCCCTCCCTTCCCCAAACCATACAGTTGAGAAGTAATTCAGAAATAGGTCAGAAGACACTTTATTCATTTATATTGTGAGAAAATGGTTCCATCAGGCTTGTGTTAAGGCAATGGACTGAATGAGTGCATGTTGAGTTGGGATGGGGCACGGGGGGCTGGCGGTTTCCTTCAGCCAGTGTGGTCAGAACAGCAGCCCCACGGCCCCCATCGGAGGCGGTCAGGCTCTCCCCCAGAGTAGCCGGGCAGAGAGAAACCAACCAAGGTCAGCACCTCCGTCTGAAGCATTTGGCACACACCTTCAAAACACATCAAGGCTGCTTCCAGTTTCAGAAAATAGAAATCTGCATCTCGGGCCTGACATGCACACAGAGCTCTCCTCCTGACCCAAACGCACTCGCGTGCCAGGTCCTGGGGATTGGGGGGCTGCCGGGGCGCCCAAGCCCTCTCCTGGGGGCCCGCTGGGCAGGCGACCTGCTAACCCAGCATCACTGCTGTGCTCAGCCCCTCAGCTCGGCCCTAGCCTATTTCCTGCCTCCATTTGACATTTCCAGGTTCTCAAAATTGCATTTAACCTGTGCCAGAGACTTCACCGTAGGCATCTTTAATAAACCAACTCCACCAAAATGTGGGCACATTAATAACAAGATGGAACTTGAGATTTCCTAAAGCGCAGTGTTAAAATGCCTCGAGGGCGTATGCCACATTTCCCTACTGACCTGTAGGCAAGGCCGAGGCCTGGCCAGCAGCACCAGCTTCCAGCAAAGACCCCCGCAGACCATGTCCTGCTGTTTGACTTAGGAATGAGGATGACCCTGTATTCCCGGGTTAGTCAAGGTCAGCTTACCAGGGGCTGGGGTGGGGAGGCTGTGACCCTCTAAACTGGGAGGAGCACCAAGAGAGGCACTGGGGCTGCAGCTGGGTGGGCAGATGCCACCGTGGCTCCATCCGTCAGCACCCAGTCCTTCGATTCACACTGTGCTCGGGCCAAGTGCACGCGACCTCCTGTCACATCTTAGGCCTGAGCGCTTATTAGGAAAACAGTATGGAAAGTGACAGACACTGCTGTCTGGAGTCTGAGAATCCAAGTGTCTCAACACAGTACCAGAAGCACCCCCTGGGAGCAGCCCTTGCTGTCCTGGGCCAGGGACCCACAAGCTTGAACGTGGCCTCAAGAGAGGAGCTCAACGTCGGATATGCAAATACTGGCACAAGAAAATCCAGACAATCATCTTTCACCGTGTAAATTCTAAGACAGGACACGCCGCCCAGAGTGAGGACCCAGGAGCGGCCTTCCCTCGCGTCTGTGTCTCGTCTGGGGCCACAGCTGCGACGTTCTGCTGTTGGAAAACGGGTTCACCTTTTGGAAAAAGGCCAAACGAAAGTTGGGCTTTCTTGTGTCCAGCGACTGTTGTGTTTAGATAAAGACCTTAATAAAGGTGGAGTTAAAATCACTTGGTAAGATGTTGAGTATTTTATCACATCAAAAACGCTGACATGCAAGTGGGTTCTGCCTCTCCCCCCACAGTGGGGTGCCGAGTGCCGAACCCACAAAGCCAGTCTGCTCCCCGCCAGCTTCGCTGCCCCTCAGGGGGTTGCATGACGACATATTTAAATTAAAAACAAAACACTCTCTACGTATCAAAGAAATGTGTCAAAATAATCTCAAACAATTAAAATATAATATATATTTATAATTCTGGGCCCTCAAAAGCAATCGTGGTAGTTAAGAACAAAGTTTTGAGTCATTAGGATAGAGGCCAACTTTAAACATCTCCAGTGAGATGGATTAGGAAACTGGCATTAGAACCCCCACAGTTACTTGACAATCACCTTTAAAACGTTAAGTTCTTTCAGACACGCAGGAATCAGGCTAGATCATCACTCGGGCTCTGTGGAGTGGCTGGCACACCTGTGGCTGGTGGGGAAGGCGGCTGGCGGGGAGCGGCCCATTCCTCCCTCGCAGGCCTCACTCCTGCCTGCCCACCTGGCACCGGGGGGGACCGGCCACTCGCCCTTGCTCCCATGGGCTCCACCCGCCTGGCTTCCCGCCTGCAGCTGACTAGAATTCCATCCGTGAGAAACACTTGGACGTCACTGAAAAAGAAATCCATGCGATTTGGTTTAAGTGCCAGTTTCTTCAAGAACCTGATATTTCAGTTACAAATCATTGAAGCTCCTTTTTAAAAAGAAAATTCAACTCCCTCATAATCAACTACTTTATGTGAAGAAAAAAGGCATTGTTAACAATGGCTCAAAACCGTTCTTGCAACACGGAGGCAGCCTCAGTCCCGCTTCTAGCTGGCAAAAGCCTTGCCGGCGTCCTCCTTGCCTCTGTACCTCCTCTTCCCATGTGTGAACGGGATGTACCGGTACTTAATCATGTGCTGGGGAGAGAAACACAGACTCAGTCACTGCACAGGCGCTCTCTGGCCAGCCACACTGTCCCCACATGGGAGCGGCCAAAGGCCCCCATCTTTTCTATACATCTGACAAGTGGAATCGGGGCCCCAGTGGCTTCCTGCGCCCATGTCAACACAGCAAGGCCTTCCATAGCCCACGAGGCCTAGGTTTGAAACCCCATCAATCCCAGTGTTTCCTGAGCCTCCTATGGAGAAAGGGCAAGGGGGCTGTGAGGTGGCCCAGGGCCCTCTGCAGCCAACACCCCGGGCACAGAGTAAGGCCCGCAGTAGCAAGGCCATGCCATCAAGGGGTCAGTCAGCAGTCTCAGCTAATTTCCCCCTAATGCCCTCCTCCTTAGGCAGGCTGGCGCAGGGCACTGGGCCCCCTAAGAGGAGCCACTGGGACACTGCACATGCTGGGGCTCTCCCGTTCAGCTCCCACAAAGCTTCCATCAAGAGCCCACCCGCTCCGACAGATGCGCTCTCCGTTTAGTTCGCTGGCTGTGCTGGGAACAGAGCAGTGTCCTCGTCACACACAAGACAGTGCCACTGAGCTCCACATTCACACTAGGCAGACTCTGCCACCACCCGCCACAGCCCACCACGGCTCCCCCATGCTGCAGGTAACAGAACAGCGACTGCGGCCGGCGTGGCGGCAGTGCCTCTGCTTTACCTTGATTTGCCTCTTCATTGTGATACAGAAGAGCATGATGAAGTACATCACCAGGATCGGCCAGAACACCGGGACGTTGAAAGCGTCGAAGAAAGTACAGACCATAGCCACAAGGATGCCCTTGGTAGCCGCGTGCCTTCAAGTGGGGAGAGAAGGTTAGCGCAGCATCTGCAGCCAGCACCGGGCACCTGCCGGCCGCCTCCAGCCTTGCAGCTGCACCGACCGTCCCCGCAAACAGAAGCATCCCTGTGGAAAGGAGGGGTCTACCCTGGGCACAGCAGCAGCACGACCCTTTGCAAGTAGCTCACAGAAATGTACTGTACTGCCCTCACCACAGAGACTTCCTTCTCTTACTCCCTTGAAGCGTACAATTCTTCTTAAAACTACACGAAGTATAAAGCATTAGTGCTGAGGCTGGGGGCCCCGTGCCTGCTGGCTGGGCCTGTGATCTGGAGAGAAACCCAGGCTGTGTCTTGTGGACCATCCAGGGCCTTCACCTTGTCACTGTGGCATGGCCACCAGTGCTCCCTCCCGCCCCAGCACATGGCCAAGAGATGCCATCGCCCTTGAGGCTCAGCTCTCCCTTCCTAGTCCAAGCCTCTGGTGGCTTCCAGGGCCCCTGATCTTTCTGTCCCCGACTCCATCTGGGGCTGCAAAGTCAAGGTGTGGAGCCCCACGAGCTCAGCAGGCTCCTTCACTTTACTGATCCAACAGACTTGGGTTCCTCTTGTGCCCCCAGGGTGGGGTATGAGGGACAGGACAAACAGATGCAGCCACAGAGCTCCCATCCCTCTGACGGCTACGCCACCCACCTCTGCCTACCCGTGCAGACACGGGCACCTCGGTTCAGACCCCTCTCAAAAATGACTCCAGGAGAAGGTTAGTCCTCCTCTGCCAGCCACAGGGAGCCACAGGGCTGGGGATGGGAGAGAGGAAGGAGGGAGGTCGGAGACTGGATGCAGGGCCTGCCCTCCCCAGGCCACGACCACAGGAGCCAGTGCACACTCCATCCCAGAGTCAGCCTCCTTTCCGCCAGCCTCCGGGGCACTGGTGCTGACTTGAAAACAAGAGAACGCGGCAAGGCACTGAGTGGCCTTCCAGTGAGAGCCCCTGTGATTCCGCCTGTGCCCAGCCCAGCACAGCAGTCATCTTTGGGTGACTTGAACAAAACTTCAACCAGAATCAGTGTAGTCTCAGTCTCAGCCACCCTTGAGCCCAATTTTCCTTCTCAAATACCGTGAAGAATTAGCTCACCAAAATTTAAACTCTGGAAGCCTTCGAATGAAGGGGCGGAATTCCTCGTTCTGTTTGGTGGGTAGCGAAGGACCGTCATCTGCAAGGCAAAGCAACCATCAGGGAGGGGCGCCTCTTTTCATTTCCATCACATTTCTACCATTTCCCCTCAAGGCTTCGGACTAGCAGGCCTCACAAATCTAAACTGAGATTTGTGTCTTTAACCAAAGAGAAAACGGGGGTCTGTGGTCAAGTGACACATCCAGTTCACTGCTTTCAGAAAGTGCTATCAGAATGTTTTTAAAGACTTCCATGCGCTTTCAATGCACAAATTATTCAACCACATATAAACCTCCAGAACATGTCAGCTACGCCACGTATAGGCACAGAAAGAAAACAAAAGCAAATTAACGTAAAAAGCAAGCGGCAGAGAACAGGGCGGGGCAGAGGATGCGCTGACCGTGGAACCCGGGTGCCAGGCCTGTCCCACCAGCAGCTGTGCCAAGCCCGCTCTCACCCCATCTCCCACCCGGACGGGTGCTGCTCCCCATTTACAGATGGGAAAACTGAGGCCTACAGGAAAGGGGCTCTTTGTTATTTTCTAGTCTCCTCCAAATAGCAACAAATGAGAGGAGCTGTGTTCCCGTCAATCTTCTCATCACATACCCTACCCAGAAGACTCACAGGCTTCTGGCCACACAGTGAGAGCACACCCTGCTCCCCGACAGCAGGTTCCCCCAGGAGGAGGAGGATCCTGGCAGGGAGCTGCATGTGGGTTTTCCCGCAGTGGCCACGATGTCCTGGAAAGCAGTTGTTTGTTCCTCCCCTGGGGCTGGCCAGTCAGGCGTGAACTCAGGGCCCCTACCTGGCCCAGGCAGGCCCAGGAGCAGCATGAGTCTTCCAAGCATGGAGCACGAAGCGCCAGGAACACTTCAGCTCACAGCTCCTCAGAAACCAGAGGAGGCCGCCCAAAGCCTGACCCGACCTGATGTTGGCATCAGGGTCCTGGCACTCTCTGTGCACAATGAGCTGCCTGTGGAACCCTCTGGCTATGGGAAAAGGTAACCTCATCATGGCCGCCTCCACGGATTCTGAAAGGGGCCGTTGACTGGGGTGGGACAGGCGCCGGAGTCGGACCATCCGCCTCAGACCCCTACTGTCTATGGTGCCATGTGACCTTGAACACGTTACCTAACCCAGTACACCTCAGTTTCCTCATCTGCAAAGTGGGAAAACAGAATGAACACCCACTTCGTGGCTATCAGGAGGGTTTGAAGAGTCGTTCTACAAACGTATCCTGATCACCCAACGTTACAAGTACATTTCAACCCCAAGAGTCGAGTCGCGGGTGTTTCTAGAGAACACTGGGCAATCCCATCAGAAAAGAAAAGCCCAACCTGCCCACACAGCCCAGTGCACAGCCGCTACCCTACCTGAGTCTTCCATTAAGGAAGGATCCACTTTGGGAGAAAGAAAAGCTATGAAAAGATTTAGATGGTAGATCCCCAAGGCATAGGTCACAATGTACCAACCCTGAAAGAGAAGGAAAGAGAGTCAGTGGTGCACTCCGACCGTCCATCAGCCTGAGTCAGTTCATGTTTGCACTCCAGTTCACTCTCAACTTGAAGTCATCTTAAAAACACACAAAACTTACAGCAACGACAATGAAATACAGTGAAATCCCATGGTAACAACTTATCTCAAATTATACTTTGTGGATACTGAAATTAAGGGGACAAATGAGCAAAGCTCTTCAAGGGTCCAGTTAGACACATGTACTCCCCGAAGCCACAGACGCCCCATAAGGAGCGCAGCAGAAAAGGAGGCTTTTCTCAAGAAGCACATGCTCAAGCTACACCACAGGCTCAGGTGGCCCGGGCATCTGAGCGATGCTGGCCCAGAGCCCCCAGCAGGAGCAGGTTCATCAGAAACAGAAGACAGAATGTCAACTGTGACTGGAGGTGTGCTAGCCGATGTTCCTCCAACAGACAATTCCCATTGCCAAACACACTCTGCCAGAAGGGTGAAACCTTTGCCAGAAGAAACCCACAACTGGGCAATCAAGAAAAGAGAGCTTAAGCCAAGCCTTCCTCAAGAGACGCAGAGTGGGAGAATTCTGCCAAGATGCCTGAGTGCAGCACACTTG